ATTTAATTAATGAATTATAAGAAAAAATCCGACGTCACAATAGCTGTACAGTATACAAATGAATTGAGCAGTGGGTATGGTTTGGTTATGGTTACCATTGACGTAAAATTATTGGTTAACTAAAATATTAGGTTTTAATTTTTAAGTTTTAATAATTATTAGGTTAAATTCCTATTTTTGTCTCTGACCTATAGTACGAACCCTGATTTGATCCATGAATTAAAGAAATACCTAATTTGGTCCTTGAACTATTGTACGGACCTGAATTGGTCCGTAAACTATTGTACGGACTCCCGAGTTAATCCCTAAACTATTGTACAGATACCCAATTTGGTCCATATTATTTACCCATTTAACCCCAACTTGATCCTTCTGTTAAATAATAACTCATGAACCAAATTGGGGCAAAATTGTAAACAGTAAGGATCAAATTGAGAGTCCATACAATAGTTCAAGGACCAACTTAGGCCAAATTATAAACAGTGGGGACCAAATCGGGATCCGTACAATAGTTTAAGGACCAAATTAGGAATTTCTTTAGTTCATGGACCAAATCGGGGGTCCATACAATAGTTCAAGGACCAAAATAAGGATTTAACCTAATTATTAACTAGGAAAAATTACACTTAACCTTTCTGTGATTTAGAGTAAGTGTATTTAAAGGCCTATAATATCAAATATGCACTTAAAGATTTGTGTTTTAAAATAAAAACAACAACACTCTTATAGTTAAAAACCTAACAAAAAATTTCACTTTTTTTTTATCTTAATTCTTGCCTAACACCACCACCTTGCCCAATGGTAAAAGTTGAATTATATATAGTTTGTTTGACACATCACAACTAGTTATAGTTTCATCATTTCTTAGTAATTCATTACCATCTACCTGCTAAAATACATAAAAAAATGATAATAATTAATTAATTAATTCATTCATTTTAATTAGTCATATTTAAACCACTTGTGTAATTCAACTAAAAAAAATTAATTTGCACATGTATAAGATATTCATAATTAGCATGTACTGTTGAAATTAATTAAAATTAAATATACATAAAATCAAGAATATATTATTTATAAATGCAAATGACCAAGGTAAAATCTTTTAATTTTCAAATGAAATTCTTACTTTTTAAATCCTAAACAAGCAATGAAATTTCCAATCAAACACAAAAAGGTAGATAAAAGAAAATTAGAAACAAAGTTTCACTTTGGAATATAAATTATAATAGATTAAAAAATTTTATTCGATTACCTGCAGAAAGTTATTTTGTTTGGTTTTCATTTTTATTTAAATTGATCTTTGAAGATTGCTATGAAAAAGAGTCTGTGTGAAAATTGAGTTTTTTCTCTCTTCTTTTTTTATTTTTTATTTTTAAGTCAAGGGTATTTAATATTTTACACATAATTTTAACATCATTTAGATGGCAAGGGTGGTTTAGTACTCAAGGTTCAAAGTACAAGTCTTGAAGTGCACATTTCAATTACATGAGCCTTTAAATACACTCACCTTAAACCACAAGTAAGTTATGTGTAATTTTTTCTATTAACTAAATTGAAACAGACAGATTTTATTAGTTTTGATTACACTTTTAAGAATAATCATTCAAATC